CGTTTCGGGAACTAGTTGTTCGAGCCTCTTCTTCCTCCCTTCGCCCATCCCTCTCTGTGGGTCTGGGCAGGGCCATCCGCCGAAGGTTTGGGAGTCCGAGATGGCCCCAAGAGGGCCCCTGATAACCCAATGTGGCCCCCAATGCCAGACAATACCGCGCGAGATGGCTCAAGAGAACCTCCCCCCAAAACCCAATACCGCCCCAATGCGGCGCAATTCGGTTTCAAGTGGCCACGGGTCTCCCCAAGGACTCCCCGAGAGGCCCCACTCCTCCGAGAACCCCACAGGGATCCGGTTACTTTGGCTCCTCGCTGTTTCGCTTCCGATGGGCTCTGGAGGCCTCAACATGGCCCAGAGAAATTGCCCAAGAGGGCCCCAAAACGGAACAAGAGGGGCCCCAGACGGCCCCGAGAGCGCCCATGAACACCCAAAGGGGGCCCCAATATGCACGCTGTCACCCTCCCACGGGGCTTGGGGTGCAAAATGACCCGTGGTGAGCTCACGAACGCTCCACGATGGCCCGAACGTGTCTCAAAATGGTTCACACAGCATGACTGCATGTTGCTACACATCACTGGTATGATAAAGGCAACTCGCCTGCTGTATGTTTTTGGATAAGCTGGCGGGTGGTATGCGAATCGTCAAGAATTGTTACGACTCGTCGTCGTTACTTGGCGTGTTGTCCCCGTCTCCACCAACCTAAATTCACAGCACCTTCGCACATGCCATGACGCAACCGTGCGCCGCTCAAACGCTTGCCCCGGCCGAGGCGCTTCTGATCGCTCGGACGGCAACGGCGGGAACAATTGTGATCTGGTCATCGAACTTGTCGTTGAAAATATGTTATCGAATCCCGGTGCGTTCGTGATCCGACAATCGCCTGACTTCGACAGGGGCCTGACGCAGCGCCGTTCGGACCGCCCCCCCGTGCGGTGTGACGCCCATGCCCCGCCCGGCACGTCCGACGTGGAGCAAACAAGAGAGCACACAAAGGGTTGGGCGAAACTGGAAAAGGTAACGCGTCCACGGATACAGTCGGGAGTCTTTGTTCAGCGTGTCGCGGCGGCGGCCCAATCGCCACGCTGTGCCGTGCGAGCGGATAGCGCGTCGCTCCGCTCCGCGGGGCGGACGGCTCAGACAAGCTCGGGACTTTGGCTGCCCTGGGGCCAAGAAGTGGATCGCGTGTCGCGCCGAAGCGTGGTGTGCCGGAGCCTGCGGCGCCACTTTTTTGGTCTGTGGGTCGGGAGCGGGCCCCTTCTGGTCAAGAGCTAAACGGGACGCGAGTAGCACTAATTGGGGAGACAAGGCGCGGGCGGGCGGGGCCTCAGGCGGCCGGAGGGCTCAGAATACCCCCCTCCTGCGGCGCCACACACGATACCAAAAATCCCGACCGTAGGCTTGAAAATCAACCGGGCAACTGCAACGTAGAATCCATCGCGGGCCACCCAGAAAAAAACACATTCAGCGCGCTCCGAAAAAAACTGCCAATCAATGTTCACGAGGTCGCTCGCTCGGCGCCGCACGTCGCGAGACGCCACGGGAAGGGCAAAGACAGCGAGGGGGAGATGCAACAGAAAGAGGAGGAGCAGTCGGCAAACCAAAAGGATGAGGCGGTGCTGAGAGCCTGGTGTCGGCTGAATCGAAAATGATGGATGCGGTTGTTATCGTCGGAGCCTGGAAGCTGGAGCATTGCTAGCCTGGACTACGCCTTCACTTGCTAATCGCATGACTGCGTGTCGCCGAACTCCGCATGCTGGCGCGCCACTTCGATTCATGATTTTCACAACGCGCGCGAACTCGATGCTCCAACCAGCCTGAACTGCCGCGAGCGCCTAACAGACCGAAAACCCTCGGCACACAGCATCGCGATCACCGGTGGCGCAGGCTCTCGATCGTCAGTCCCGGCGCCACCCCTGCGACTAGCAGAGGCTTGCTTCGCCCCACGCCGATCACCATCCCCCCCTTCAGGCGCGCTTGGGCGGCACGTCTTCGGGATCAGACGCGCAGACCGGCAAGGCCTCTCTGCCACACTGCTGCGTCACGAGGGCGCGCCGCTGGATGCCCCAGAGGGGGGAGGGGGGGTTCGTCTGGGACCCCCTCCCCTTTTCCCTGGTCCGTCGTCGGAGTAAGCCCCCCCACCTTTCCCGATCCGTCGTCGGCGAAACCCCCTCCCACTTTCCCGGCCCGTCTTCGGCGGACCCCCCCCCCTCAGAAAAGTGAGGGGGGTTCCGGACCACCGAATCGAAATTCGGACCCCCCCCCTTTCGCCACTCTACCCCCTGGCTCCGGAACCCTATCCCTACCACCCGTAACCCAAATTCTGACCCCCACTTTACCCCAAACCCTACCCCTAACCCCTAACCCGAAACCCAAGCCCTAAACCATAACCCTTCACTCCAACACCCACTCACAACTCTAACCCTTAATCAAAAGTCCCTCCGCACCGCCCCTACTCACAGCGAGCTACTCGCTACTCACTACTAACTTCTACCTACACACTACTCACTACCCACTACTCATTACTCGTTAGTCCCTACTCACTACTCACTCCTTACTACTCGCTACTCACGCTTCACCATGCACCGCTGCCTATTCCCTACTTGCTGCTTACTACTCTACTCAGTACCCACTACTCACTACTCTCTACTCCCAACCCCCTTACCCCTTTACTCTTTACCCACTTTTCCCATCTCCCACCTCACAACTCACAACTCCTCGCTGCACCCGATTCATTGCTCACTATCCACTACCAACCACCCACTACTCACAACTCACTACTCCCTACTCCCGGCTGGCTACTCACCATTCACTACTCAGTTCTCACTCCTCACTGTTCAATACTCACCCCCCACTACTCACTACTCACCACCCAGTACTCACTACCCACCACTCACTAGTCAGAACTCCGTACTCGCTACTCTGTACTCACTAGTCATTAGTCAATCCTCAATCTTCACCACTCACCACTCACTACTGACTACTCCATATGAGTTACCCACGACTCACTACTCAATACTCACTACTACGCACTACTCACCACTCACTAGTCGCTACTACTCAATACCCATCGCCCACTACTCACTACTCACTCCTCACTTTTCAATATTCGCTTCTCTCTATTCATGATTCACTCCTCGCTTCCCACCACCCAGTACTCGCTACTTACTACTCGCTACCTACTACTTACTATTCACTACTCACCCTTCACTACTCAAAACGCACTATTCACTACCCGGTCCTCACCACGTACTACGAGCTACTCACTACCCACTGCTCGCTACCCAACACTCATTCCCAGCTACGCCCTACTCGCTCCTCACAACTCACTTCTCCCTACTCCCTCCCCTCTACTCTTTACTCCCTACCCCTCACTCCCTACTCCCTACTCGCTTCTCCCTGCCCCCTCCCCTCTACTCCTTACTCCCTACTACTTACTCCCTACTCCTACTCGCTCCTCACCACTGCCTACTCCCTACTTTTCACTCCTTATTCACTACTCACTTTCCCAACTCCCTCCCGTCTACTCCTTGCTCCTTACTCCTTACTCCCTACTCGCTCCTCACCACTCCCTACTCCCTATTCCATACTCCCTACTCGCTACTCACCAAACAATACTCCCTATTCCCTACCCCCTACTCGCTAGTCCCTACTCGCTACTCCCTACTCCCTACTCCTTACTCCCTCCTCCCTACTGACCATTCATTACCCAATACACACTGCTCACTACTCACTACTCACGACCCACCGTCTCCGGCGCAGAACAGGAGAAGCGAGAAAGGCTCCTGTCAGGCCCCCCCCTTTCAAAAGAGAGGGAGGTCCGGAATTCTCCGCCCCCCCCCCCTTTGAAGGGGTGGGGTGGGGGTTCTGCGAACACACACACACACACACACACCCTGTACAAATACCGGGGCACCCAGTGGCGCGCTTTCCCAAACTACTGCACTTGATAATAAATGGGGAAAGAAAGACGGCCTCAAGGCGCCCGGGGCAAAATGACAAGTGGAGATTTCTGCTACAAGGGCGTCGAGCGGTATCCCGCCCTCCTGCGTTCGTCGCGCAACCTCGCCCCGCCCCGCCCACACCCCTTGGACTTTGGACTGGACGGAAAGGAGCGTCGATGCAGCACCCCCCCGGGAACAACGCCGAGCCGACGTTCCGACGCGCGGGCCGGCCCACTACCTTGGAAGCGGGCGCTCTCTGCGCGCCCATCTCTGACTCATTCCGCCGTTCCGCCCCTCACCCCGCATTCGCGCCACCGCCCCGCCCTCCCGTCCTCACCCCGCCCTCGCCCCACGCCCTGACCCCCCTCCCACCCCCATCCCGCCCCCCGTCTCGCCCCCATTCCGCCGTCGTCCCGCCCTCATCTCGCCCTCCCGCCCTCATTCCGCCTTTGTCCCGCCCGCATCCTGACCTCACCAAACAGTTGTTCCATCCTCCCCCCTCGCGCCCGAAGTTGGAGAGTCAGGGCTGGAATCGAATCCGATCGGGCCAGCCAGGATCCCCAGACATCTGGCCGCTCCACTTTTGTTCGATGCGTCAGCCCCGGAGGTCCGGACCACTTCCCCAGGCCGCTTCTGCGCCCCGAATACTTTGTTGACGCTCCCGAGGCCGGGCGATGGCCCCCCGAGGCCGAGAAAAGTGCTCCAACCCTGCCGCTCAAATCTTTTGTTGGAGCGTCGGATCTCTGGGGAAGGTGCACGGGCAGGGTTGGAGGCGAATCGGATCGGGCCTGCCCGCTCCTCGCACTTGTCCTGCTCGCCGCCACGGATTTGTTGAGAATCGCCAGGCTTTGCAAATGATTGACCCCAAATCCCCGTCCGGATGATGATACGGTAGCAATAGTGGCGAATGACGACAGTGGTCACGTCGTGGCCACGTCACTCAAGCTCGAGGCCACCTGGCCCGATCTGCGGGCTTTGCCACGGGCCAGCCAAAATCCATATCGGATCGGGTCGATCCGCTTGGCGGGATGTCATGCGCTGCCGGCCGCCGGCGTGCTCCTCGATGACCCCCTCCGTCACGCGCCCGTGCGTGCTGAGGGCCCCCTTGGCCTCTCGGGTCGGGGGGATGAGCGGGGGTCCTCCTCCTCCTCCTCCTCCTCCTCCTCCTCATTCCTCCACGTCCTTCCTCCTCCTCCTTCCTCCTCCTCCTTCCTCCTCCTTCCTCCTCCACCTCCTCCTCCTCCCTCCTCGTCCTCCTCCTCCTCCTCCTCTTCCTCCTCCTCCTGCATCTCCTCCTCCTCCTCCCTCCTTCTGATCCTCTTCCTCCTCCTCCTCCTCTTCCTCCTCGTCCACCTTCCTACTCCTGCTCCTTCTCCTGCTCCTCCTCCTCCTCCTCATGCCTCCTCGTCCTTCCTCCTTTTCCTCCTCCTTCCTCTTCCTCCTTCCTCCTCCTTCCTCCTCCACCTCCTCCTCCTCCTCCCTCTCCTCCTCCTCCTCCTCCTCCTCCCTCTCCTCCTCCTCCCTCCTACTCCTCCTCCTCCTCCTCCTCTGCCTCCTCCCCCTCCTCTGCCTCCTCTTCCTCCTCATCCTCCACCTCCTCCTCCATTCCTTCTCCTATGGATAACGTCCCTCTGTCGCGCCTCGAAGCCTGTCGATAGGGCGGGCGGGTCGCTTCGCCTCAGAATTTCTCACCACTTACGACCGAGATGCTTAAGCATTAACCTCAGTTTTACGTGTGGACGGCGGGTGGTTTTCAAAATGCGGTTCTCGCGTGAACGCCGCGCACACTCGCTGTGATTACGGCAGTTTTTTTTTCTAAATGTGGCTCTCGCATTCGCGCCGCGCGCATTCTTTTTGACCATCCCCAAGAGCTTCACATTTTGAGGGCGACTTCGTTTTCAATATGTGGCCATCGCCTTCGCGACGCGCGCATTTGTTGACAACATTCACAAGAGTTTCGCTGGCTCTCATGGTTCACGTACCAGAAGCTGTGCTTTGGAGCGACTCAGGACTGTCAGGGCGCACCAGTGGCGTTGATTCGCGGTGTTGAAGTCCCAGGAATGTTCCTCTCGCACGACTCAGAATCGCCACAACGGAACAATCGGGTTAACTCGTGGCGTTGAAATCCTGGAATCCTGGGAGTGGTGTTTTGGTGCGCTTCAAGACGTTCACACGACTGTCCCCCAACGACGCCATTCCCTCAGTGGAAATGACCCCTTGTGCGGGCCTGTGAAGACGGATCTTGGAGGGAGGGGTATTTCAACATCGTTGATGAGTCATGGGTTTGCACTGGTCCTCCTCCTCCTCCTCCTCCTCCTCCTCCTCCTCCTCCTGCTCCCCCTCCTAACCGCCCCCTCCTCCTCAATTTCGATGTCTCCCAGATTCCCAGACTTCCTATCGTTCCGCACGGCTTCCAAAGAAGAGGGGGCGTCGGACGAGCGGGCAAAACCTCCAGGAGGAAGAGAAGGAGGAGGAGGAGGAAGAGGAGGAGGAGAAGGAGGATAATCGCATGGCTATGGGGAATCATGGGGAAAGGCTTTGTGGCGCATGGCCACTGGCAGTAAGTCCACCGAGCCCCAGCGCGGAGACAGGCGCTGCGCCTCCGAGGCCATTGCCGCAGCATTCGGGCACGCTGCGCAAATCCGCCCCTTCTCAAGGAAGGTGTCATGAGACACAGGCGAGAGACAACATAAAGACTGCATGCAAAATAGGTCCGCACCTTCTCAGGGAAGGTTTCACACACCCCGGCGAGAGACAACACAGAGACAGCATGCACCGAAAATCCGCTCCTTCTCAAGGACGGTTTAGCACACAACGGCGAGAGACAACACAGAGACTGCATGCGCCGTGACAGTGGAATTGGCCTCACACACCAGTGCAAGATGAGATGCGCGGGTAGAGGCCCACTCCTGACTGTCCAATCATGAAGATGTCGCCGCCAACAGCCGCTGCCTCCAGGAAGAACCTGGCGTCAGACTGGCGACGGTGCTACCAGCGGCCGTGGATTCGAGGGGGAACTGGGCGCCAGACACCTGGCGGATCTCCTCAACGGCCTTGTCCTCGATCTGATTCTGCAACGCGGCCTCGTAGATGAGCTTCTCGATGGACGTCGGACGAGCCAGCGTCTTCAGCTCGTGCGGGCACTTGGCCACCGCCGCGTCACACGCGCTCTCGGTGTCCGTCTTGCAGACGGGGTTGAGCTTGACGTTTGGGAACTTCCACGTGATCTCCCCAAGAGCCTTGTCCTCGATCTGTTTCTGCGGCACGACCTCGCAGAAGAGCTTCACGATGACCGACGGGCTCGGCAGCGTCATTGGCTACTGCGGGCGCTTGGCCGCCTCCGCGTCCCACGCGCACTCGACGTACATCTCGCAGCCGGGCTTGAAAGTGATGTCGGGGAACTTTTTCGTGATCACCTCGCGTATCTCCTCGACGGCCTTGTCCTCGTTGGGGATGAACACCTGGATTTCTTTCTCGAAGTTCGTGTCCAGGCCATACGCGATCGCCGCCGTGGGCCCGCCGATTATATAAAGGATTTTCATCCCAGAATTACCGCTCGGGCCCTTCTTGGGCTGCCTCTGCGCCTCGTTGATCTACGCCGGCACAGAGGCCACTGCATGGTTGACCTCCTTGCCCAGGTTCTTCTCGGCGGTCTCTTTCACCTTTGTCAGGGACATGGCAAATACCTCATCGGCCTGCATGTCCTTGGGCTCCCCCTTCACCTCGACGTTGTTGAAGAGCTTATCGATTTTGTTTGCGATCTTGATGTCATGCTGCTGCAGCAGCAACTTCATGTCCTGCTGCACCGTGTCCAGGGCATCGGACGCATAGTTGATGAGCTCGCACAGGAAGATCTCCTTGTTGAAGTAGGAGGTGTTACTGATCAAGCTCATGAGCTGCTGAGTGTCCATGGTCTCGGAGGGCACCTACTTGGCCATGGTGTACTTCGCGAAGTACCGCCTGCTGCTCCAGGCCACCATGAGGCGCCCAGGCGCGCGCCACTCGCGGGGTCCAGGGAGCGAGAGGCCAGCTTGAGCCAAAATGGCTACGGGGGACGAGGACGAGGAGCAGGAGGATGATGAGGAGGAGGAGGAGGAGGAGGAGGAGGAGGAGGAGGAGGAGGAGGAGGAGGTAGGCAAAAGGGACATGTCGACCCCTATCCCTGAGTTCGTGGGGTTCGAATGGACAAACAATTTGGGGGCCAAATTGGGGATATGCCTTGAGGAGGGCGTCCATCCTCGATGGGAGTGCGTCCGGATAGCTACCCTGGGGGTGCATCCCCGAGTTCACCTTCTTTTCTGCGAGGCTTGGCTCTTCGTCGGATCTTCCAAGGCTGGGGGCGAGAAATCCCCTGCGAGTCGCGAGGGCGGAGGAGGGGGGGCAGGGATGCAGAGGAAGGGGAAGCTGGGGCACGTCTGGCGGCCGCGCGCCGGTCGCCCCCGCCCTCCGGCTCTCTGTTCTGCTCCCTCTTCCTCCTTCATATCTATCCTGCACCCCCATCCTCCTCCGCCTCCCTCCTCATTCTCCTCCTCGTTCCCCTCCTCCTCCTCCTCCCTCCTCATCCTCCTCCTCTTTCCCCTCCTCCTCCTCCTCCTCCTCCTCCTCTTCTACTGCTCCCTCCTCCTTCTCCTCCTCTGGCGCCTCTGGTTCTCTCCAACTCCTCCCTCCTCCTCCTCCTCCTCCTCCTCCTCCTCCTCCTCCTCCTCCTCCTCCCTTCTTGGCCACTTCGCCTAGGGCCTGCCTCAAGCGGAGGCCAGGCAGAACGCGGGCTCGGGCACGCGGCGGAGACGGCAGGTGCGTGGTGGCGCCTCCGCTCAAGACAAACGCCTCCGGCTGTCTTCGGCAGAGAGGCCGGCCAGGAACCGCAGCGGGGCCCAGTGACAGCCAGGCTGCAGAAGGCCCCTGGTAGAGCAGACGGGGCCGTCATGTCCGCGGGTAGCGAGGATGAGACAGTTGTTCTATTCGGGGGGGGAGGAGGAGGAGGAGGAGGAGGAGGAGGAGGAGGAGGAGGAGGAGGAGGAGGAGGAGGAGGAGGAGGAGGAGGAGGAGCAGGAGGAGGTAACGGTAATGATGGCGCCACGGGGAGTCTCCAGGAGCGCCAGCGCAGCAGCAAGAGCTCAACGACAGCCAGCGACGTGGTTGGCCAACGAATGCTGGTCGCCCTGGACCAGGCGATCGGTAGAGGTGCGCCTCGCATGCTTGCAATGCTAATTCGAATGCCCTGGGAGATCCGACGCAACTGGTCCGTGGAAACACAGCGGCGTACCTCCCAGAGAAGTGGCACGGCACCGCATGGCAGCATTGCCAGGCAAGGGGCCCAGACCCCCGACGCCATGCTTTGGCAATGATGTTGTCCCCGTCGCCCCGATCAGCCCGAGAAGGGCAGGAGGGGTGGGTTGCGCCAGGGGCAGCAGGGGAAGCAGAAGCAGCAAGCAGGGGGAGCAGCAGGCGCACCGGAGAAGGAGCAGGAGGAGAGCAGGAGCAACGAGGAGAGCGAGACAGGAGCACGAGGAGGAGCCGCAGGAGGAGCAGCAGGAGAAGCAGCAGGACCGAAGGACAATGAGAAACAACAGAAACTTAGCTTGGCGAAAGATCCAACCATATGCAGTCGTGCGTGCCGCAACTGTGAATCTCGGCTCTGGTGTCGCTCCCTTTGGGGCCAAGAGCCGTGTGAAAGGTGTGCCGAGATGGGGCGGGAGGGCGTATGCGAACACCGCCATGGGGGTCTTCGGTAGAGCTCCCGATGGGGCCACGACACGTGTGAGGGGTGTGTCGACATGGGAGGCGAGGACGGATGCGAACTGCGCCAGTGAGACCTTCGGTGGAGCTCCCTATGGGGCTACGAAGCGTGTGAGTGGTGTGCCGAAATGGGTGGCAGGAACGGGCGCGAACTGCGCGACTGGGACCTTCGGTGTAGCTCCCTATGTGGTCACAAAACGCGCGAGGGGTGTGCCGAAATGAGTGGCGGAGACGCATGCGGACTGCCCCACAGGGACCTGGTATAGCTCCCTAGGAACAGCGAAACGTGTGAAGGGTGTGCGAACTGTGCCACTGGAACCTTCGATGGAGCTCCCTATGGAGCCACGAAGCGTGTGAAGGGTGGTCCGACATTCGTGTCGGGAGCGCATGCTAACTGCGCCACTGGGACCTTCGGTGGAGCTCCCTGTGGAGCTAACTGCTATGCAAGCTGCCCAAGCTGGGCCTTCGGTGGGGTGACGAAGCGCGTGATGGGGCGTACCGACATGAATGGCGGGGACGCATGTGAACTGCCCAAGTTTGGCCGTCGGTGGAACACCCTACGGGGTGACGAAGCGCGTGATGGGGTATGCCGACATGAGTGGCGGGGACGCTTTCGAACTGCGCAACTGAGACCTTCGGTGGAGCTACCTCTTGGGCCCAGAAGCGTGTGAGGAATGTGCCAAAATCGGTCGCGGGACGCATACGAACTGCGCCACTGGGACCTTCGGTGGAGCTCCGTGTGGGGCAACGAAATGTGTGGACGGTGCTCACGCTGATGGCGATGATGGTGATGATGGCGATGATGGTGATGATGACGGCAAGGGTAAGGGTGATGATGCTGCTGCTGCTGATGATGATGAGGATGACGGTGGCGACGGTGATGATGATGATGATGATGATGATGATGATGATGATGATGATGATGACGACAATGATAATGATGCTGCTGCTGGTGATGATGATAGGCGGAGAGCGGAAAAGGAATGGAGGAGAAACGAGGAAGGAAAGAGACGCGGGGCGCTGTCTCTTCAAAACGAGGACCCAACACCCAACACCAGAGGATGGTTGGGAACACCACAAAGCATCAGGAGGGGCAGCAAGTGGGGTAGCAGGAGGGAACACAAGAGCAGGAGGAGGAGGAGGAGGAGGAGCAACCAAAGGAGCAGGCAGGGGAATCACCACGGCAACGAGCACGAGGAGCAGCAGGAGGAGCAGAAAGAACACCGGAGGAGGAGCACCGTACGAGCAGCAATGGCAGGAGCAGCACGAGCAGGAGAAACACTGGAGGAGCAAACACAACCAGCAGTCGGAGCAACAGGGAGGAGCAGCAGGAGCAGTAGGCAACAGGAGGAACAACCAGAGGAAGGAAGGAGGAGCAAGAGGAAAAGCATCGGGAAGTGCAGCAGGGGAGCAGCAACAGGAGGAGCAGCAGGAACAGCAAGCGGAGCAGCAAGGGAAGAGCACCGGAGGAGCAGTAGGAGCAGGAGAAGGAGGCGGACGAGCAGGAGCAGCAGCAGCAACAGCAGCAGCAGCAACAGCAACAGCAGCAGCAGCAACACGGAAGGGGAACAGCAGGAGGAGCAGCAGGAGGAGCAGCACGAGCAGCAACAGGAAAAGCAGCACGAGGAGCAACAGGAGGTACACGAGGGGCAGCAGGAGGAGCAGCACGAGCAGCAGCTGGAAGAGCAGCAGGAGGGCAACAACAAAAACACCTGGAGAAACATCATACTCTTTGTGCTCCACCACTGGGCGCCGACATGCGCCAGCTGCGGGAGCGAAGATCAAAAAAAAGGGAGAGCACGACGGGAAAAAGGGAGGGAGGGGCGCCTCCGCGCGCCCTGCACACGCGCCACAAGCGGTCAGTAGTGCACGAGTGGTCCCATGACCAGTGGGCCGCCTCTCCACTGCGTTCTCCACGTCGCCTCAAATTCCGCTGTCGCCCTCCAGCGAATAGAAAGCGCGGTCGCAGGCCGTTGCGTGCTTTACCTACGTTCGCGTCCCCGAAGCCGCGATCCCTGTAACATACGCCGTGCTCGCGCCCCCGAGGCCACGACCTCCCGCAAACTGCGCTGCTTACATGCGCGCCGTTGGGGCCACGATCCCCGGCAAAGTCCGCCACATTCGCGCTAACGGCGCCACGATCCCTAGAAAATTGCGCCACGCTCGCGCCCCCGAAGCCACGATTCGCGTCCTCCTCCTCCTCCTCCTCCTCCTCCTCCTCCGGGGAGGGGGCTGAGGAGGAGGAGGAGGAGGAGGAGGAGGAGGAGGAGGAGGAGGAGGAGGAGGAGGAGAGGAGGAAGCCGCATTCGCGTCCCCGAAGCCACGATCCCTTGAAAAATACACCATGCTCGCGCCACCGAGGCCACGACCTCCCGGGCAGCGCGCTGCGTTGGCGCCACTGGGGCCACGATCTGTGGCAAAGTACACCACGTTTGCGCCCCTGGGGCAACGATCCTTCGTAAATTACGCACTGCTCGCGCCCCCGAGGCCAGTCACCCTTGCAAAGTGTGCAATGTGTGCGTCCCCGAGGCAACAAGCCGTCGTAAGCTAGCAATGTGCGCGTCCCCGAGGCCATTCACCGTCCCAAAGTTTGAGATGGTTGCGCCCCCGAGGCAACAAATCTTCGCACATTCATCTGGTGTTGCGTCCCCGAAGCAACAAACCCTAGCACATTAAGCAATCTTCGCGTCCCCGAAGCCTGAATCCTTCGCTAATTACGCAAGGTTCGCGTCCCTGACGCCACAAACCCTCGCAAATTGATAAAGTTTCGCGCCCCCGAGGCCACAACCCCGAACACATTGCTGAATTATTGCGTCCCCGAGGCAACACACCCTCGTAACTGATTCAACATTCGCGTCCAATTGGCCATAAGCAAACGCAAATTTGATCGTGTTCGTATTGCCGAGGCCAAGAATACCCCACGGCGCCCGCAAGAGGGCCCCAAGCGGCCCCAAGAGCGACTCGAGAGGCCTCCCGAGAGAGCACCAAGAGGCCAACATCGCCGATTTTCCAAAAAGGTTCTTGAAAAAGTTTAGGGTTCTCGCATTTTTGTTTTTCCGACGTTCCAAGATGGCGCAAGTAACTCCCAAGAACGCCGCAAGACAGCCCCAGACGCCTCCAAGAGAGCCACAAGAAGGCCCGAGAGGGCTCCAAGATGGCCCAAGAAGAAAGTTCCGAAAGCCCTCAGGAGGCCCAAGAGGCCCCAAGAGGCGCCCAAGACGCGCTAAAGAGGCTTCCAAGAGGCCCGGAAGATACCCCACGGGGCTCCACGAGGCCCCCAAGTGGTGCCGAAAACGCCTCCAAGAGGCCCACGGAAGGCTCCCCAAGACACCCCAGCACATGTACAAGAGGCCTCAGACCCACAAACCACACATGGTGGCGGGATGGGCCGAAGGCCACTCGGATAACGCTAACGTATCAATACGCACTGATGATTCCTATTCGCCCCCGCATGATGTTCCCAGATGCGCCAGGGCAGCGCCGAGGCGCACCGACGCGCATTTTGATATATCTCATTCTGATAGAGAGGGGGCCGGCGGCAGGGGGCGAAGCCCTCACGGATGACAAGAGGGGGGCGGGCTCAGGGGCTCATCCTCGGAGAACTTCCAAATCTTCTGTCCCCAGGAACTTTTGGATCTCAGGGTGCTCGCAAACGGTCTCCGGCATAGGGTGGTCATCTTCAGGTCGCGCGGGGCTGCTGCGCCCGAACTTCAACAGGATCGTGGAATGGCCCAAATCCTCCATGGCATCCCAAACCTCCACCATTTCCAAACATTGCCCAGATAGGTACACCTGGCTCAGGATCCGCCCAGGATTCGACATGAAACACCGATCGGTACAAGCCAACGTACGCTGCCCCAAAGTGTCGCGCGTTGGATCAGGAACCTGGAACCGAAGAAAATCAAGGGCAAATATTGGCCCAAAGTCCCTCACGATGATCGCGCCAGTCGGCATAAGCAGCATCAGAGGCCTCAGGATGGTCTTCATTATGGCGAAGAGGCTCGGCTTCCATGTTCAAGTCCCCAATCAAAATGGCCATGCAACTGGCTGGGTGCTCGGCAGCCTCCAGCCGGCGGATGTTGATCATCATGACCAGCTTCGCCCTGCCTTCCCTCGACATGTTGTGGTTGTGTGCGTTACAATGTGCTATCCATGAAATGGCCGAGAAGAAACCGGCAATGAGAAGCACGCGCCCAAGAATCACCTCCACCCCCGCGACAGACGGCGCGCGATCGCCGAGATGCCGAAAGGATGGCAACAGCGCCACCACGCCTCCAGCGTGCTGGCCTCGGCGAGGCCTGGCGGCAAGCCTGGCGGAATACACAAAAAGTCCTGAAGTTCAGCTAACGGCCCGCGTCTGTTGCAACGCGAACAGCATGCCCTCCTTCCCCCACTTCAAAAGGTACGCCAGTTTCCCTGACTCCTGAGTTTATTCAGTGTAAAAGAAGCACGCGAGTTCCAACAGAAAAAAAGCTGGAAAGGCCCATGGCTTGCCAGGCGGGGCGCCCCGTGCCCCGAGAAGCGTTTGAAATGTTCCATTGCGCCTCGTCAGACAGCTTGAACGCCCTGCCCAAGGCTGTCTCGAGCTCGCTACTCTGGATGCCGAGCTCGACCAAGTTCAGGATACAGTGCCGGATCTCTGGTGCACTATCGCCTGGGTGCGGCGCCAGCATCTAATCTCTGGTGGAGTCCAGGCAATTCTTGAGCGACTCCAGGGAGAGGCCTCCCTCGGTGCGCTGCTGCCTTCCACCATCCCGCACACTATGGCTGCCATCGCACACGCCGCCACCAGAGTGAGAAGCGCCAGCACGCGGCGGAGGTGTCACCCGGAGGCCTCTTGCTCGCAATCCCTTTGCCATGAGCTTACATGGCGCGGCCCACATCGTGCGGCGAGGGAGGAGGGAAAGCTGCGGTGGTGCAGAAGTGGCACTGGCAGCCCTGCCAGGGGCAAAGGGGGCGAGGCCCGCCCTCAGGGCAGCAGCTTGGGCCCCAACCGAGTACACCCTCCACGACGGACACAGGGTGGCTTCGGGCAGTGGCCTCGAGCCAAGCTAACTACGGACCTCCTGCTCCTTCCCTCCTCCCCCTCCTCCTCCTCCTCCTCCTCCTCCTCCTCCTCCTCCTCCACCTCCTCCTCCTCCTCCTCCTCCTCCTCCTCCTCCTCCTCCTCCTCCTCGGCGGCGGCGCGGCCAGGCTGCGGCGTCTGGCTGGTGCCTTCTGGGGGAACAAGCAGCCCGCCAGGAAGGGCACCTCGTAAGTGAAGGGCTCGCGGAGCAGCGCCTGCGACGGCCGCACTGCGGCGGGAGGGAGCTCCCAGTCGTCGTCGCCGTCGCGGCCGTCGTGGGCGTCCTCGTCGAGGAAAGGGAGGAGGAGGAAGAGGAGGAGGAAGAGGAGGAGGAGGAAGAAGAGAAGGAGGAGAGGATGATAATTGCATTAATCAGGAGGAGGAACATCAGGAGGAGGTGGAGGAACAGGAGGAGGAGGAACAGGAGGAGGAGGAGGAGGAGGGTCGAGCTTGTTCCCGCCGAGTGAAACAAGGGGGGGATATTAAACTAAAACACCCTGAGCGCTTTCTGTGATCGCTTGTAGGGCCCCCCCCGAGTTCGGCAACCGGGTGGGGTGGGGTTGGGGCGGGGGGGCGACGACGACGGCGTCGTGCTCGGCGTCGCCGCCGTCGCTGGCGTCGTCGTCGCCGTCGTCGCCGTTGTCGCCAACGTCGGCGGCGTTGGCGTCGTTGGCGTCGTGCTCGGCGTCGTTGTCGGTGTCGGCGTCGGCGTCGTAGTCGGGCGGCGTCGACGTCGGCGTCGGCGTCGCTGTCGGCGTCGTCAACATCGTTGGCGTCGGCGCTGGCACCGGCGTCGGTGTCGTCGTCGTCGTCGTCGTCGTCGTCGTCGTCGTCGTCGTCATCGTAGTCGTCAACATCGCATCGGCGTCGGCGTCGGCGCCGGCATCGTTGTCGGCGTCGTGCTCGGCGTCGTGCTGGGCGTCGTGCTCGGCGTGGTCGGCGTCGGCGTCGGCGTCGTCCACGTGGTCGACGTCGTCGTCTCCGTCGGCGTCGTCGGCGTCGTGCTCGGTGTCGTGCTCGGTATCGTCGTCATCGTCGGCGTCGGCGTCGACGCCTGCGTCGGCGTCGGAGTCGGCGGCGGCGTCGTCGGCGTCGGCGTAGGAGTCGTGCTCGGCGTCGTCGTCATTGTCGGCGTCGGCGTCGGCGCCGGCGTCGGTGTCATTGTCGGCGTCGTCGGCGTCGTACTCGGCGCCCTGCTCGCCGTCGAGCTCGGCGTCGTCGTCATCGTCGTCATCGTCGTCGTCGTCATCGTAGTCGTCGTCGTCAGCATCGCATCGGCGTCGTTGTCATCATCGCGTTTTCTTTGGCGTCGTTCTCGGCGTTGTTCCCGCGTCGTGCTTGGCGTCGTCGTCGCCGGCGCCGGCGTCGGCGCCGTTTCTGGCGTCGGCGTCGTCGTCGTCGTCATTGTAGTCGTCGTCAGCATCGCATCGGTGTCGGCGTCGGCGCCGTCCTCGTGGTCGGCGTCGTGCTCGGCGTCAGGCTTGGCGTCGTGCTCGGCGTGGTCGGCGTCGGCGTCGGCAACGTCGTCGTGGTCGGCGTCGTTGTCGGCGTCGGCGTCGTCGGCGTCGTGCTCGGTGTCGTGCTCGGTATCGTCGTCATCGTCGGCGTCGGCGTCTGCGCTGGCGTAGTTGTCGGCGTCGGCGTCGTCGGCATCGTGCTCGGCGTCGTACTCGGCGCCGTGCTCGCCGTCGAGCTCAGCGTCGTCGTCGTCATCGTCGTCGTCGTCGTCGGCGTCGCCGTCGCCGTCGCCGGCGTCGGCGTCGGCGTCGTCGTCGCCGTGCTCGGCGTCGACGTCGGCGTCGGCGGCGTCGGCGTCGGCGGCGTCGTCGTCGTTGTCATCGTAATCGTAGTCGTCAGCATCGCATCGGCATCGCATCGCATCGCGTTTTCGTTGGCGTCATTCTCGGCGTTGTTCTTCGGCGTCGTGCTTGGCGTCGTCGTCGTCGTCGCCGGCGCCGGCGTCGGCGTCGGCGCCGTGCTCGGCGTCTTCGCCGGCGAAAGTGTCGTCGTCGGCGGCGGCGTCGGTGTCGGCGTCGTCGTCGCCGTCGACGTCGGCGTCGGCGTCGAGCTCGGCGTCGTGCTCGTCTTCATGCTCTTCGTCGGCGTTGGCGTCGGCGTCGGCGTCGTCTGCATCAGCGTCGGCGTCGGCGTCGTCGGCGTCGTGCTCGGCATCGTGCTCGGCGTGGTCGTCATCGTTATCGTCGGAGTCGTGCTCGGCGTCGAGCTCGGCGTGGTCGGGGTCGGCGTCGGCATCGTCATTGTCGTTGTCGTCGGCGAGTCCTCGTCGTCGTCGTTGTTGTCTTCGCTGTCGGCGGCGCCTCTGCGCTGCTGCGCCGCTTTCGTCGTCGCCTTTCCACCTCCCCCCCCTGCCCCCCCCAGTTCCGAGGGGGGGCTCCACCAACCTTAACAATCGCAACCGACTGGTACCAACTACCAGCGACTTGGCCAATCCCCAACCGGCCTGAAAACCAGCCGGTACCAAATACAGCCAACCATCTTGAGCCCACAATGGGGTTCTATGGCACATTCAACCAGTTCAAAAATCAAATGCACGCCCCAAGAATCGACATTTATTTTGGGAGACGGCATGAATGCCCCAGTTGGTACTTGTACTAGTTCGCGCTCTGCCATCTAGAAGCTGTTTGTGCTGAAACGAAACAATGGTCGTCCATTTCACTGGAGCTTTACGGTTGGCGTATGAAAACGTGACTGCTTTCGTAAGACAACTGCGTAAAGGTTCGCGCTACGTGGCTTCCATGTAAGAGCTGCGGGAACTCGATCAGCGAGCAGTACAATGTTCAAAGCGATGTGCGGGTGCCCATCAGGAAACCAAGCGATTCCGAAGAATTAGCCCACCGTGCACATATGGCTGCTTCACATGCCAAGTGAAACCAGAAGGTATGCTTCATGCGCGCACATGGCAAAACGAGCACCAACCAGCATCCGGCAACATCCTACTAGAGTTCACTCGTGTCTCATATGTGAGCGGGATCGGAAGCTCCCTGATCCCAGCCCCTCGCAAGTAACTCTGCCTGTGCGCTCCGCACTTGGAATGTGGTAGGACACGCGCCGACCGCAGCCTCCCTCCAACGTATGGCATCTTCTATGTGACTCCAAGTCGAGGTCACCTGGTAACGCGTTGATCGCGGCCTCCCGCTGACTCATTGAGCCGCTCATGTGTTTGTTTCAACACGCGCTCAACGAAGGAGCGGGAACCGAATGGTTCGTTCGGCCACCCTCTCCTTCTCCGTGGGTCCGCCCACCCCCCCGGAAACCCCGAAGACACGAAACGCTTCGATGGGAAGCGTGGCCCTCGGGGGTTTGGAGAACCCCGCGCCCGCAAGAAAGGGTCCGGGGACCGAACTATTCGGCGGCGGCAGCGGAGGGCAAACTGACCCGTTCGGCCCCTCTCTGCCCCCCGCGGGTTCGCCCCCCCCCCCGCCAACCCCGAGCTTCCGAGGGCGCGAAACGTTTCCATTGGAACCTTCAGGGGCTTGGAGAAACCCGCGCCGCACGAAGGGGCGCGGGGGCCGAACGACTCGGCGGCGGCGGCGGAGGGCAAGGTGGCTCGTTCGGCCCGCCTCCGTCCGCCATGGGCCCGCAAAACGCGCACTCTGTCTTCGATCGTATGAATATTCTGGCGGCGCATCTCCAAGATTTTCGGGTAGCCTGGGCCACCCCATGGAGAGCCTCACGCCAGTCCAAGCACGGCCAGGACCCGAAGGACTCACCCTACAGCTGGTGGCGGCAAAGCTGTGGGAGGGGGGCCGGCTGGCGACCGACGAGCGCCACCAAAGGAGCGGGAGAGGACTTGCCAGAAAACGCGCGCACGCGCATCTCACTATTCATCATGATCGCGGAGGAGGATGTTCCACTCCATGCGGGGCCCCAGCTTCCCAGCGCATGCCTCGTCTTCGCCTCTGCCCATGGTTTGATTTGGGGCCAGATATCACGCAACAGCGCGTTCGATTAGTTTCGCCGACAAGAGGCGTTATGGGGAGGGGGGGGATGGGGAGGGGGTATGACGTAACGCCCCCCCCACCGTGCGATTCCGGCGCCACCACAGCGTCAGCGCGCACGACGACGACAAGCGACGACGACGACGAAAACGACGACGACGACGACGAGCGACCACGACAACAACGACAACGACGACGAGGCTTAGACGAGCGACCACGACGACGACGACGATGACGACGGGCGACCACGATGACGATGACGACGACGACTACGAGCGACCACGATGACGACGACGACAACGCCGACGCCGACGACGACGAAGACAACGACGACGACGATGAGCGACGACGACGACGACGCCGACGACGACGACGACGAGCGACAACGACGACGACGACGATGACGACGACGACGACGGCGAGCGACGCCTCCGGACGTCTCTGGATGTTTTTGGAAGCCTCCACAGGCCTCCAGAGGCTTCTGGAAGCCTCCAGAGGCCTTCCGGAGGTCATCCGAAGGCCTGCAGAGGCCCTCGAAAGCATTCCAAGGCGTTTGACAACGACGCGCGACCGCGAGCTATGACGACAAACGACAACGACAACGATGACGACGAAGAAGAAGATGACGACGACGACGACGACGGGCGACCACGACGACGACGACGACGACGACGGACGACGACGACGACCGACTACGAGGAGCGACGGCGACGACGAGCGACTACGAGCGACGACGACGACGAACACGAAGACGACGACAACGACGACGAAAACAACGACAACGACGACCGACAATGAAGAGTGACGAGGAGTTGTGGCGAGCACATGCCTGCGAAGGCGTTGTTGCTTCCACGTGGCGTATAAGAGTTATGCTCCTTACCTACCTCCTCCATCCTCGTCGTTGTCGTCGTGGTCGTCGTCGTCGCTCGTCGTCGTCGTCGTGGTTGTCGCTCTTCGTTGTCGGTCGTCATCGTGGACCCCTATGCGGAAACCTATGCGGATCCGAATGCAGATCCCTATGCGGCTCTTTGTATGGATCCCTGGAAATTCCATTGCGGACCCCTATGCGTGCCGGGGGCGCATTGGGGGCCGGAGCGTTACGTTATAGGGGGGGGGCGGGAGGGGGGTCATAACGCGCGTTATGGCCCAAGCAATAATGAAACAGGCTCCAACGATGACGGGCTCCTGAGGTAATTACGTCCCAGAAACCAGCATCCCAATTTGGGTGCCCGCGTCCCTCGGCAACCAGAGGTCCCGCCGGCCTGGTTTCGCAAGGGAGGCGCTGGTGTCATCTGGGTGGTTTTCATATGTGGAGCACCACTCGAAGGCTCCCAAGGCCCAGGGGGTTGCTCGAAGGCTAAGATGAAGAAGCCGTGGGTTCGCCAGGAGCTGGCTTCCCCCCAAACGACCCAAACCCTCCCAAGCCCCTCAGAAAAGCCTCCCAGAAGGGTTCCGGGGAAGCTCTGCGGAGGGTTCCGGGAAGGTTTCGGGAGGGTTTCGGTCCGCTTGGAGGAAAACAAGTGCCGAGAGAACCATTGCCTTCCCAAGGCTAGACAAGCGCTCGCCACATCTGCGCCACGCCCACGGCGAGCGAGACGTATCTCGCCTCTACGCGTCGCTTGCAGGCGGGCGACCTCGACCTCGCCCGCTCCGGCTGTTCGTCTGGCGCGCCGCTGAACGCTGAGAGACAAGGCATCGTTCGCGCCTGACGGTAATCGAGGGCGGCGCCCTTTCCCGTGAAGCAGACCAGCCGCTTCGGGGGGAGCTGTGATCTCTCTACTTCCAGGGGGGGCCGTCGGCTTTGACTCCCCCTGGGATGATCGTCGACACTGCCATGGCCCCCGGTGGAGGTTAAGGAACACAGCACCCCCAGTCTTTGGGAGGGCCTGGGAAAATTGGCGGCGAGCTGATGGCGCCAAGGCCCGACTCAGTTCTATCCCGGCGTCTTTTCTCCGTTTCGGTCTCCGTGGGCCGTTGCCAGGCCCAGGGCCACCCGAGAAGAGAATCTGGTGTGACACAAGTGGTTCTAGGAAAGAGGTCGACAGTTCTAGAGCCCCCAAAGATTGCACCAGTCACGACGTCGGAGGCCTGGGGTGAGGGGGGCAACCCTCCACGAAGGTAAATATGGGGCTCTCAGAACGGAGCTGGCCCTTGAACGCGAGGCCCTCTGGCGGGAGGCCTCCTAAGAAGGTTGCCACCCTGCCGCTGTTTTTATTTTCCACGCCGCCTGGGAGGGCGAGGGGGGGCAGTCGAAAATGATGATGATGTTGTTGTTGATGATGGTGATGATGATGACGCTGATTATTCATTAATTAATACCAGTATGATGGTGATTGTTGTTAGTCTGTTCATCTGATTACTGGTCTTATTAATTTATCAATGATGATGCCGATGATGATGCTGATGATGTGAATAATGCTAGTTACTATTCTGATTATGATGATTATGATGGTGAGGATGATGATGATGCTGATGGTGACGATGATGCGGCTGATTCTGATGATGACGATGGTGATGATGACGGAGCGGAGGCGGAGAACGGGCAGAAGCATCAGCGGGAGACACGAGGACAAAGCCAACGCCGAAAAATGATGATTATGATTCGGATTATGATGATGATGATGATGATGATGATGACGATGATGACAATGATGATGATAATGGCGGTGATGATGATGGTGGTGATGATGATGATGACGATGATGATGATGACGAGCAGGAGCAGGAGGAGGAGGAGGAGGAGGAGGAGGTGCTGGAGCAAGGGGAGGAGGACGAAGCTTCCCCAATTCCCCCAATCCTCCCTCTGCCCTCCTCCCCCACCGAAAACCCACACCTGGAAAAACAACAACCATCACCTGATCTCCGAACCTCGACGACGACGACGACGAAGAAGACGACGACGAATACCACCTCTTCTCTCGCCGGCGAACACGGGAGAGAAGTGAAAGGGCGGGCTTTCCCAGAAGGCCCGTGGCCGTCTAAGAAGGTACTCGAGCCTTCCCCGAAGACGCAGGAACCTTCTCAGAAGGCGCGAGGGCTTCTGAGAAACCCCGCCGCCTTCTGAGAGGGCCTTCTTAGAAGAAAAACGCATAGAGAAAAACTGTTGGCGCTCCGTGCGGATTTCTTGGATCTATGTCGGACCCCCCTCCCTGGCGCGCGGAGAGCGCCAGGGGCGGCGCTGGAGGCGCCGCCCGGGGGGGCCCATCGCGGATCTAAGAAATCCGCGCGGAGCGCCAAACATTTATGTTTATTCAGGTTTTTCTTGTATGATTCTCCTTCGCACTTCCTCCCCTCGGTCGCCGCCGATCTCCTCTCCTTTCAAACGCCGTGTCGGCGCACGGGTCGTGCGATGCGGGACGCGCAAGCGGTTCGTTGCCACACGTGCGCTGAGGAGAGCACTCCGAGGCGCCGCACGATCCATGGCTCGGTGCCGGCGCCCAACAGCGACGCAGGGTATAGAGGAACAGAACCCTCTTTTGTTGTCCCCTCTTTGCGCTGCTCAAGGTGCTTTGGCTTTCCTGCTCCTGCTCCTCCGCCCTCCCCCTCCTCCTCCTCCTCCTCCTCCTCCTCCTCCTCCTCCTCCTCCTTCCTTGTTGTTCCACCTCCTCCTTCTCCTCCTCCTCCTCTTCCTCCTCCTCCTCCTTCTCCTCCTCCTCCTCCTCGACCGCTTGCCCGGACAATAATTCTGAGTCACGCGGCCCAGGGGGGGGGGGCCGGGGACGCATTGAAATATGAAGTGGCGCCATGAAGTCTGTGGAGATATCATGCCCCCCCCAATGATATCCCCCCCCTAGTCATCACCCCCCTCTTGGCCGACCCCGAGATACCGCTACTCACCGGACCTCTCCGGGGGTGCGTTCCAACCATGACTTCGAGGCGAATCCGGTCGTGGCGACGGGGAGGCCTCCCGGGAGGCCCCAGGAGACGACAACGAGGGAAGGGTAGCGGCATGGGTACCTTCGCCCTCCTTTGAATGCACGCGTGAGCGAGTACCCACGCGGCCAGACGAGAAATAATAGCGGCCACCAGCACCACCACGACTTCCAACTTCACGGTGAGGGCATTGGGTTAGAGACCATTGTTAAGGAATCCAGGGCCTCAGAAAGTCCGTGGAGCACCAGCTGAGGCTTGGCCATGGATATCTCCGCCGCCCTTCTCAGATGAAGAACCCTCCAGGGTCTGAAGCCTCCTGGGCACATTCCTTCACCACGGCCCCCCTCCGTACCATCCGGGCGCCTCTCTGCCGGCGATGGCGCTGAGGTGCTTGAAGAGGAAGGCGTCGATGCGGCGGTACTGGTCCAGTGCGCTCTGCCTGCGGCGCGGGCGGGGACGGCGACGGAAGGACGCGGCCGAGACGGGAGGACCAGGACCAGGACCGCTTCCTGCGGGGATCCTTCGGGTCGGGCGAAAGGGGGGGATAGCAAAGGGGGGGGTTGAGAATCAGCTCTCGTAGCTGGTTTTCCCGGCGCCTCCCGGCGCCAGGAGGCGCCCATGTATCGAGGACTGGGCCCCTCGGTGAGGCCGAAACCAGCTGCATGCAGCAAATTTCGTAACCCCCCCTTTCCCAATCCCCCCCTTTCGTCCGGCCCGAAACTGGCCCTGCCCGCGCGAGACGGCAAAGCGACCTCACGCGGCGGCTCACGCGGGCCGCCAGTGCGGCACGCTGCACCGGACAAGAGGGCGCCCGCGCGCGACCTTCATAAGGCGCGGGCAGCCACTACTTCCGTCTGCGGGCCACGGGCTCGCAGGCCAGGGGGGGGGGCGGGGCCGCTGCTCGCTGCCGCTGCCTGCCGTGGTCTCTGCGGCTGCCTCTCTCGCTGGTGGCCGCCGCGAGGGCGCCCGCGGCCAGTGGGGCCCCCAAAGGGCCTGCCCAAAAGAGGGAGGGCCAGGGCGGCGGCCGGCCTGCGAGGAGGAGGAGGAGGAGGAGGAGGAGGAGGAGGAGGAGGAGGAGGAGAAGGAGGAGGAGGGGGAGGAGGAGGAGGAGGAGGAGGAGGAGGAGGAGGAGGAGGAGGAGGAGGAGAAGCAGAGAGGAGACCGGTCCAGGCATCGGGGTACCCGGGCAGAGCGCCCTGGGAATCAGCAGCAGAGGCGCAGAGGCGAGCCGAGGAGCGGGAGGTGGGCTGGGGCAAACGTTGGCGCGGCAGGGGCGAGGGGCACGGCCCGTGTGCGCCTCGCACTGGGCCGCGGCCGTCGCGCTCCCAGTGTCGCAGGCGCCGGGGCGAGGGCGCGACTCCTGCGCAAACTGCGAGGGGCCCTCGGGCGAGACGGCTGCTGGACGAGGGCGGTCTCGGGCCCCGCGTTGCCCTCGGGAGCGTTGCTGTGGCCTTCCTGACCTCTGAGTAGCACCCTCTGGCGAAGGGCCACGGGGAGCGGCAGCGGGCGGGAAGAGGGGGCGGCAGCGCACAGCGCGAGCCGCACCCCCAGACAGGCCCAGCAGCAGGGGCGGAGGAAGAGGTGGTCGGCAAGCTGCTGGCCGACAAGAGGGCGGGGCAGACAGGGAGGCCGCGCAGGGGGCGCGCCTCTCCGATCGGTGGGGGGATTTGTTTTGTTTCTGTTCAGCGGGGCCCCCGGATGACGCTCACAGTGCGGGGCGGCAAACAGCAGCAGCTCTCGTGAAGTGCTGCTCCTGAAGGCCTGGGGGGCACACTGGGTTCCCTTCACCCGCCTCCTGCGGCGATCGGCGCGCGTACAACCAGGCGGGGCACGAGCAGGCCAGGAACATGAAACGGGTCAGACACCTCGGCGGGAACTCGGGCAGCCCTGACCAACGCTTGTGAGTCCTTCTCTCCCCAGGGCGACACAGCCACAACCAGCAACTGCTCTTCTAAGCGGTCACCCTCCTCATGCGGGGGCTCCTCCGTTTGGACCGCCTTCCCCCACAACAACACGGGTCGCTGATTCAGGGAGGGAACGTATTCCCTCCTGACTCTGGAGGCTTGGGCCGCCTCCGCTGCCGCAGAAGGACCCTATTGCAGCCAAGGAGCTGAAACTTGGCAATACGAGCAAGGTCCTCGCGGCCGTTCTCTGCGGCCTCCTGGCAGGCAGCCGTGAGATACCTTGGGTCGACCGGCGCCGTCCTCGCACATGCGCTGCAGACAACGAGCAGATAGCGAGGCCATAACTGCAGCACGTGCGACTCGTGGAAGACTTTCCCACCTACCCTGAGTCGCCCCACTCAGCCCCAGAAACATGACCACCTCCATGTGCAGGCTCTTGGCCTGGGCCAGTCGGCTCAAAAAGGCTGCGGGCCGTGGAACAGGCGACGATGAGTTCTCGCATGCTGCCCATCTTGTGGCACAAGCCGCAAGCATCGGAGCGAGGGGCTTCCGTTCATGCGAATCCATTTCAGGTCGTGCGCGCGTTGGCTGCTTTGGGGCAGGCTTTCATCAAGCCTGTGGGGTCTGCCCGGCGAGCTGCAAGCGCCGCCAGGCGTTGCGAGCCCTTGCGCAAGTGGCCGCGCTGCAAGGAGGAAAAAGGCTGGATCTCGCACTCGTTGGCGACCGCGCTGCAACTCCGCATCGCCGCAACGAGGTCCCCGTCGAGCATGTCGAAGGCATCGCCCCAACGCGGCCTTCTCCCCGATGCCCCCGATCTCTTGGACGACGCCTCGGAGTGTCGACTCGCCCATGCCGAAGGTCCCAGCTGCGGTGGCGAGGTCGAGGCTCGGAGCCAGGGCTCGGTCGGGCATGTCCCCCTGCAAGCGGACTTTGGAAAAAACATAGAAAACAACAACAAAACACAACATTCGCCAGCCCAACGGGCCAGAGGCGTGCTAAGATCTCCGGTGACTGGTTAACGATACTTCTGGTCATAGAGGGGGCCAAAACAACCTGGGGGTTGATTTGGCCCCTTCCCTATGCATTTATTACTACGAACATATCTTTACATTATACAGAAAACCAGAACAGCGAAATGATTGAACTTATATAGTGGCGCAACAGAAATCCGCTTCTTTTCTGCTGCAAAGAAACAACAACCTTTTGTATATTGCAGCAAAAGATATTCTTTTATACTACGGCATTGACAATATGCTGTTTAATCACATATGCAGAACATCATCAAAAAACTGTGTTTTCACAGTTTTGTAGATAATTCTATACCTTTTTTATAAAAAACAATTGATTTCTTCTGTGTTTCTCAATTTTGTATAGAAAATTTTAATAATAATATAAAAAATATTTTTTCTGTGCGGGCACAGTTTTTTTTTAGTTTTTTTCCAATGATTTCCCAACTGTGGAAGATCTTCTCCTATAGTCTGGAAATCATTGAAAAAACTAAAAAAAAACTGAGCCGGCACAGAAAAAAAATGCTTTTATTAAAATTTCATAAAAAAAACTGAGAAATCACAGAGGACATCAATTGTTTTATAAAGAAAACTATAAACACAGGTTGTCCTCCTCCTCCTCCTCCTGCTCCTTCTGCTCCCCGTTCTCCCTCTTTTTCGTCCCCTCCGCTCCTTCCTCCCTCCGTCCCTCCCTCCCCTCTCTCCGACGGTTATTGCGTCTACTAAAAGCACCGCAGATCCTACGAGCACCACGAAGACGGCGGAATGGAGCGCGAAACGCAGTAACATTCATAATCAACAGGAAAGAATAAGCCGTTGTTTCATCGCGTTTCCTCTGGTCGCCCCCCCTCATTTTTTGACACCCCTCACAAGGATCGTGGCCTCCGAGTGCGAAAATTCTAGCTTCAAGATGCCCCCGAGAGGCCCCCCGCCCAAAGAGGCACCCAAGAAGTCCCAAGCAACCCCCAGGGAGCCCCAAGAGGCCCCCAAGAGACACCAAAGAGGCGCCCAACATGCCCCCAGGAGGCCTCAAAAGGCCCCGGCACTGCCCCCCAGAGGCCCCGAAGAGGCCAAGCAAGAGATCACACCGCCGTTCCTACACTGAGCATCCTGCCTGCTGCGCTGTTGCACAGGCGCGGCGGCGGGGTCTGCCGCAGGCAAGGTGGATAATAAGCAGTTATATATATATATATATATACAGGGGGGTGGCCCGGTGGGTTCCCCATTCGGCCTGAAGATGAAGACTCTATTTGAAGACTCTATTGTTTTGAAGACTCTATTTGAAGACTCTATTCGGCTGACGCCCGATGACGCCTCTGACGCCTCTATGCCACCTGACGCCTCTATTGCCCTGACGCCCGATGACGCCTCTGACGCCCCTATTCCGTCTGACGCCTTTATTCGCTCGGCGCCGTATTTGCGCTGTCGTTCCTATGGGCCAGAGGACCGCTGACACCCGTGACGCCTTTATTCGGTCTGACGCCTCTATTCGCCTGACGCTCGTTGACGCCCCTGACGTCTCTATTCTGCCTGACGCCTCTATTCTCCTGGCGACCGATGACGCCCGTGACGCCTCTATTCTTCTGACGCCTCTAATTCGCCTGACGCTCGATGACGCCTGTGACGCCTCTATTCTGCCTGACGCCTCTATTCGCCTGACGCCCGCTGACGCTCCTGACGCCTCTATTCTGCCTGACGCCTCTATTCGCCTGAAGACCGATGACGCCCGTGACGCCTCTATTCCTCTGACGCCTTTATTCGGCTGACGCCCGATGACGCCTGTGACGCCTCTATTCTGCCTGACGTCCGCTGGGAACCCCCCCAAATGCTCTGTCCGCGGCGGGTGGTTTTCCGTGGAGAATCTGGCCCAGATTCCCCACGGGAGAGCATCCGCCGCGGACGGGGCTTTCGGGGAATCCTCCAATGGGCCCTGTGACCAAATTTTCGGGGCGTGACCCGTGACACCATGCCAAACGGAATTCCCGGGGTGGATTTTCGAAGGCCCGACACCATGCCAAACGGAATCTCCCGGGGTGGGTTTAGGGGGCACTACACCATGCGAAACTGGATCTCCCGGGACCAAATTTTCGGGGCGTGATCCGTGACATCATGCCAAACGATATCTCCGGGAGAGGCCCCCATGGGCCCGACATCACGCCAAACGGGACCACCGGCAAGAAGCGCCCATGGGCCCGACACCATGCCAAACGGGACCTCCCGAGCGCTGGCCCAAGTACCCGAATCGGCCCGGAAGGGTTCCCGGGCGCTGAGAGCAGAAAATCAATATTTTTGAAAGAAAAATGTGTTCTAGAGTGGTCTTTTTTCGGCGCTATCTCGGAATTCAATTTTCCGGCGCCGGCCGGCGCCGGAACCGGCTCCGGCGCCGGCCCGGGCGCTGACCCGGGCGTCCGGCTCGAGCGCAGGCTCGGGTGCCGGAATCGGCTCGGAAGAATTCCTGGGCGCCGGGAGCAGAAAATCAACATTTTTGAAAGAGAAATGTGTTTTGGAGTGGTTTTTTTCGGCACTGC